TGAAGAAACACAATTGAGATTTTTTCAGTGATAAAATCTGCATATTTGTATTTCAAACAATGTAGCTAAAACTTGATGTAAATTCCTCCTTTTTTTCCTTTTTTGGCTTAATGAATATCATTTATTCAGTATGAAATCTTTATACTATATGTTCCACGTGTTAAGAATAAATGTACATTAAATCTTGGTAAGACGTTTGTGAGGTCTTTTATTGTCTTCAAACTTTTTTTAAACAGTTTGAGGACCCAATTTAAAAAACCCCACTACCACTTGACCTCTAGATAAAAATAGATTGGTCCTGTTTTCTGATGTTCCCTCTCTAAAATGGTAGCGCTTGAAGTCTGTAATTTCCTGACTGTATTACACTTTTAGCTTCCAAAGTAAAATTCTAAGTTCAAGAAATCTCTGAGAAGATGTAGCCTACGAGAAGAAATACCAGGCATAAAAAAGAAAGCATTAACCTTTTGAAATAAAGTGGGTTTTAAAATGGCACTCTAGGAGGGTATCATTACAACCCTGTGAACTGGGAACCTTGCCCATCAAACTTGAGCACCTTAGTTGCAGTTACTATGTCAATCATCTCATTGAGGGTCTTTCGCTTGTTGGATGAACCTCCACTTCTCCCAGTATGGTGCTTTTTTCTAATGGCTGGTGCCTCTTGACAGCATGCCCAAAGTATGAGAGGCCAAGTTTTACCATCTTTGCCTGTAAACAACACTGATTATACTTACTCCAAGGCAAATTTTGTTTTTTGACAGTCCATGGTATATTTGATATTCTTCATCAATGCTGTGTTTCAAAACCATCCATTTTTCTTTAGTATTATTCCTTGTGCCACTTGTACAAGCAATAGAAAAACCCATACCTTGAGGCAGGCACGCCAGTCTTTAAACTGATATTCTTCCCCTTAGCACTTTAAAGAGGTCCTTGACAGCACTTGTGCCCAGTGCAACACATTTTTTGGTATTTTGACTGCAGCTACTTTGGGTCTTGATTATGGATCCAAGTAGAGTGAAATCATTGCTAAGTCTTCATGTATCATTTTGCTTATTGACCCCATTGTGAGAACTGTTTTCTTGATAAGTGTAATTTATATTGAATGCTGTAGCCAGATAATTTTCAAGTACTATAAATGATTCAAGCTGTCTTCACATTCTGCAAGCAAGGTTGTATCATTTGCATAATATATTTTCTTCCTCCAGCCCTGATGTTATCGTTAGTCCAGCTTATTTGCTTGGCCTACAGATTGGAATAGGAATGGAGAAAAGTAGATACTGTTGGGTGCTGTTTAGTCGAGCAGAACTCATCGCAACCCTGTGAGCAGACCTGAATCCTGTTGTATCCTGTGCATCCTCATTTCTGACATACTCAAGCCCTTTGCAATAATGAACTTGGGGCATATTTGGCTATTCCTTGGAGAAGGATGTGCTTGGAAAGGTAGATAGTTGTTAAGATAGGAAGACCCTCACCTAGATGGATTGATAGTGACTACTCAGCTCAAGTATGTCAAAAAGGCACACAGGTGTCTTGTTAAGTAGTTGAATAAAATGCTAGCTATTGACCTGATTGTGTTGCTTTTATAAGGCTAACACAACAATCTATGGCTTTTCTGTTCTTAAGGAAAAATACGTAGAAATCTTCAGGTTCCCAGAAACAACCTATTAAATACCTGTGTGCCAGACAATATCACAAATAATCTTACATCAGCCTTGTGCTAATGAGATCCTATTCGGTTTCCATTTTACAACTGAGGACAGAAATGAAAGGCTTGTTTGAATTCACACTCCAAAATCCACCTGATTACAAGGCTCATGTTCTTTCATATGTACCACTGCACTTCCTGGATCAAAGGACAACCATGGGTAACTGGATCTAACTGTGGAGCTCAGCAAACAAAAGCAGAATTTGTTTTTGTTGTGTTTAGCATGAGGTGAAATTGTCCACGTGTTCGTCAAAGTAAGTGACTTAGTATTTGGGTCACAGAATGCCTAGCACCTCTCTACTTAGAAAGGTGAAATGAAATTGGCTAATCTATGATCCTTTGATTCTTCTGGAAAATAGTAAGAAGCCTGTCTTTAGTGAGCAAAGTTTGTAAAGGCTGTTTCAGCTCTGGGCCTCTTGGGCTCATTTTCTTAAGTCTATAAAGTGTGTTTTAGGGCTGTGTGTGGAGCATTACAGAGGAGTCTGGTTTCCTGGGTTCCTTTCATCTGCCCTCCTGCAATGCAGGGACAGCCTAGCCTGGTCTCCGGTTTGACTGGAGTTACCAAGGGGGCTAAGAGAACTGCCAGCCATTGAACTGTAAATAATTTTGCTTTTCAGAAGTAAATAGAACCTCCCCAGTAGAGAACTCAGGGGTGTGGCTAATAGGTCTTTTCTCAGGCTCCTCCCTCTCTACCCCTCAAATGACCTTAACCTTCTTCCATAGCTGGAGAGCAGCCAAGTCTGGGTCTACACAATACTCTCAACCTCATTGGCTCTTTTGCTTTGCTGCCACAGCCTCCCCTAACTGGCTAAAGCCCTTCCTACGAGATTGCTGTTTTCAAAGAAATAGCAGTGGGATCAAAAACCAGACACTGAAGGAAGAGTAAAAAATAATGTCAGTAGATTATAAAAGATCAATGTTTGGCTTGTGCAATTAGAAGCCAGGGTAGATATTTGCTCTGGAGTGGACAGGCTTCTTCATGTTGTAATGTTTACTTACCAGGACCCTACAGCAGATTTTCAGAGACTACAAATCACATAGGAGAAGATAGCCTATCTTTCTCCCATGGAACAGCTGTAATTTGAACCACTTTCTTTGGGTTAGCAGCACAACTTCTTACCCCCTAGGCCCACTAGAGCTCCTTTCATGTTGTAAGTCAAGGCCCAGAAAGAAGCTTTTGGTAAATAAGGCCTGATGAGTACCATCCTAGATGTGAGACTGGAGAGTATCATCCAGCATCCTTGGAAACTGCACTTTCATTCACAGTGAAAAGAAACAGAATAGCTGCTTGGGATCTAATCGTACCTGCTAACAGTTTGCAATAATAGTAATTAGAGGCCAGTGTGGTCACAAAACCAACATCCCAGATCAAAGTCAGCTACTCTTAACTATTCCCATGTGATTGGGCCCATTGGGATTCTGTGTCTGATAACTGAGCTATGACTTAAAATAGATATATTGGGCTGTCTTTCTGCCCATCCTGTGACCAAAAACACAGAGATGAAGGTGGGAGCAAAGCAAAGCAGGTGCTGAAAAATTGAGTTGTTAGGGAGCTCCAGGTGAGTGAGAACTACCAAGCTTCCTTCTCCCCTTTCAATGGGGAAGTAACTTCTGTTGTAAACTGAGTTATAACAGCCCACCTTAATTAAGCAATTTATATCAAGCACTGTAAATCCTATGTGGTAGATACTATCATCTGCATAGGAATATGGACTTTGACTTAGTGTTGCATCCTTATCCCTTATATATGGTGGGCACTCCAACATTGTTGAAGAATTCAAATGTTAAGATAGGATTGGTGCAAAAAGTATTTAGGAACTATTCAGATGTGGCATTCTTTTTTATTATTAATGTTATAAACATTTACAGAGATTGTAGATTTCCATTCATTCATTGTTACACTTTTCTCCCCACCCACACCCCCACCCAGATGTGGCATTCTTGTAGTCACAATCTATATACTTACTATCTTACGTCCTATTCTTGGATCCAGTCAATGCCCATGGAAGCATCTGTTGAGAAAAGATGAATTGGACAAATTTATCGTCAAAGATTGTTTTTATATGCAAAAGAGCAGGGATATCAGCTTAAAGATTAAGGTACACCTTACCTAGGCCATGATATTTTTAATTGTTTTGTATACATGGGAAAGTTGGAGAATGACTAAGGAAGACTGGGAAAATTGTCAAAAGAACAAACGTCTGTGTTGGAAGAAGAACAGTCTTCCTTAGAAGCAAAGATGGTGAAACTTCTCACATTGAGCATGTGATCAAAGGACCAGTCTAGGGGAAAGGATATCAGAAAAGCAGAGGTCTGGTGAAAGAGAGGAAGCCCCTCAATGAGACAAACTGACACAGTGACTGCAACAATGGGCTTAAGCAATCAGAGATTGGGGGGATAATGTAGGATCAGACAAGGCTTCCATCCATTGTACATAGGGTTAGAGTCAACCAGACTATCTAACAACAACATATAGGATTCTTGGCATAGGCTACAAATACTCTTAGACATTTGGTAAAAGAAAAAGAAAGGGGTAAACCTGAGCCAAGAATAGTGTGGAGTGATAGAAAACCAATCTGAAAGACTAGGGACCTGACTTCAAGTTCCACCTCTAGCTGTGTGACCCTCAGGTCAGTAACTTGTCCTTTCTTAAGCTTTTGCTCCCTCATTCATAAAATATAATTATCATATTAAACAAATTAATTCATCCCCCAGATTTTTATGTTACATGTAGAATGTATAAGATATTGCTCTAAATGCTGTGAATGGGTTATGAACACAAAGTACTCCTAGAAGGAGAAACGGATCATAAAATAAGTAAGTCAGATGATGTTGAAGAAAACAGAACAGGTGAGGAAATGGGACAAGGTGGTGGTGGTAGTGACTGGCTGGGTAGTCAGGGAAGACCTTTTTGGAGAAAGTTATTTTAGTTGAGACCAAAATGTGACAGTGTTTAAAAGCAGAGGAAACAGGAAGAGTCAGAAAAAAACAAATGCTGTTAACCTCCTTGTAGTCTAGGATTCCAAAGGGTAGTACATTGTTTTGCGTTGTTTAGGTTAGGAGTTTGTATTATGAAACTATTCTTGATGGTGGTGTGAGATATGGCTTTTTAATGGAAGAGGTGAAAGGAACAGCGTCTCCCCAGAGCTGGGATACAGCTCTCCAGCTAGCTGCTTGTGTTGATGCAGTCTCCATTTTAACTGTAGCCTCTAAAAGCAAAAATCGAAAGAGTTGCCTCCACCAATCCTCACTCACAGCCTTGGAGATACAGAACTCCCTCTTATGCCACCCAAATCTTTCCCATCTGACAAACCAGGGCTTTAAAAGCGCAGTGTTCTGCTACCCTGTTTGCAGGTTGGAGCAGGAGCCAGAAAATGAAGCAGGAAACAGGGTGGAAGAGGTGGGGGGTGGGTAGCACAGAACGGAGAATTTGCCGGAAAGTAGAGCTGAAAATCTGGACAAAGTTCTATCTTTAATGGGTGACGGTTGAGCTTTTAGAAAGCGTTCTGACTTTCAGAAGACCTCTGTCCTTTTAACAGATAAAAGAGAAAATTCGCTATGTATAAGATGGAACCCTGAAAATGCATGCCTCCCCCCCCACCTTGTGAATTCACAGAGCTAGGGCAGTTTATCATTTTGTTTTTGTAAACTGATTATTCAGAGCCTCGTGGACTTCAAGATTCAAGCCAGAACGTTAGGTCTCACTCATGAATGTGTCCCGGTTTTCCCTTTACATTCACAAGCCTGGTGAAGCTGAGAACAAGTGCGCGTCACTGAAAAAACATGGGGGAAGGGCGTTCTAAACTCCGTTTATTCCCTTCTTCTGCTACAAACACATAACGACTAAAATGTGATTTGTACTTTACCCACCTTACATACAGTAAATATAGGGGGTAGGGGGAGGCAATTTAGGTCTCAGGGACTGTAGTAAGTTATAATCAAAAGAAACAGCCCGTGAGCCCCACAGAGTTGGTGTGGGTTGGCTTTCTTTGCCAGGAGAGATAGCAACCACCTCTTTGTTCCCACCCACGTTAGGAGCTGTTGGAGAAGATAAACCCCTCCCTCGGGCAGGGTTGTGGCCAGGGGCTACCCTAGACCCCAGCTTCGTTTGGGGAACAGATAACTGAAACCACAGAAGCCTTGAGAATCCTGAGAAACAAGAAATCCACCAACGGAGAAGGATTTATTATCTGTTTCCTTTAAGGAGGGTGCAGAGTTGTTCTAACAGTTTCCGTTACAAGGGGTACCAACTGGCCGCTCCTCCCTAACAGACGGTTTTGTTGAGTTAGCTCCCCCCCCCTTCTTCTTTTTTGGCCCTACTTCCTAAGAGAGAAACTGCTTGAGTGAGGAAAGAGAAAAGAGTCCTGGGGGTTGTTCTCTGAGATTTCCTTCATCATTCTCATTAGCAACCTGAGATGGAGCTGAGCATTGGAGGGCAGAAGGGTCCTGGCTGCTGGAGGAGGGGAAAGTCAGGGGGATCCCCCACTTTCTTCACATACAGAACACAGGGTTGCCGCTGCTGGCCACAGAAGCCCCAAAAAGGCTTTTCTTTCCATTCATAGAACACCTATTGTGTGCCAGGCCCTGTGCTGTGCTGTTGTTGCTTAACGGCAGGAAAAGTGTAGTTCTGGCTTCTGTGAAGAGGCCATGGGGCAGCTCCCAGCTACAAGAGCCTGCCATATAGTGAGAATAGTTGTGGATGGAACTGGGGCAAGAACACGGACTCCTGAGATAGCAGCCTAATGGAAAGCGGATGAAGTGCAAGAGCGAATTCTTCAGGTGTTACCAAGGCGGGAAGGTGCTAAGGCGTGGGAGGAGGGGGAGAGCGCACCACTCGAGCCACACCGTCCCCGCCCCGCTCGCCTAGAGCCAACATGGCGGCCGCTAGGGAGGCGGGGCGGCTCCGAGTCCAGGCAAGAGCGGGGCGGGGCTGTGGAGCCCTGCGCAGGCGCAGGTCGCTCGGGGTCCCGGATGGAGGTGCTGTGAGGGTCGGGCCCCGCCTGGGAGGTCGAGACTGGCCGGCGCTGAGCACCCGGCGCCGGCTGAGGAGCCCTGGCGCTCTGGGGGAAGGGAAATTGTCAAGCGGAGGCCGGGGAGGGAGGGAGGCCAGGCCGCTGAGGAACCCCGCCCCATCGCCATAGCGCCCTCTCGGTACCCGCCTCTTCCTTTACAGCCTCCCGCCCTCCCCCGCTTTCCGGCCTTATGGCCTGGTGGGGTGCAGCCGGACCCCTCTGGAATAATCCTTGGTCTGTACCCCTTTAGGGTCTGTAACAGAAAGGTGCAGGTTAAAGTGAGGCTCGGGACCGCCGGGGCTGGGGACAGCTTGCGAGGCTGGGTCCGAGTGACTTTTCCTTCTGCGGAGGATTTAGCATGATGCCCAGCAAGGACATGCTCAGTCACCGAGCCAGGGGACTGAGTTAGAAACTAGGAGGCCTGTGTGCACTAGGCTCTGGAAAAAACACAACCCCCTACAAACCTATCTTTTAACGCTGGTGTGAAATCAGGTGGGAAGACGAGTTTTTGGGAACAAACACCCCACTCTTGAGTAGCTTTGGGTGTGTCTCTTAACCCCAGCGAGCCTCAGTTTCCACATCCATAAATGATGGAGTGGTAATTAAACTCACCGGGTCCAATGAGGTCTCTAATGTAAAAGTTGTAAAAACCATGGGGATTTTTATTAGCCACCCTTAAGCCTGTTTTCCTCCTGGGAGAATAAGAATGGAACTAGTTGATTTGTAAATATTGTGAGTTTTATAAGTCTGACTTGGCAAAAGGTGATTGTTACGTGCAGAGAGAACTTGGTTTACCTGTAAGCTAAGTGTAGGTTATAAGTCTGGTCACTGAGGCCAGAGCTTGACTTTGGAGAGGGGACAGGAAGAATGGAAGCTTGGTGAAGAGGCAGAGGTGGGTGAAGTGCTTTTTTGTTCCCCGCTTCTCTGCTTCGTGTGGGTGGGAAGTCAAGGAAGGGGGAGGGGAAAAAAGGCTAAATTCACTGAAGGGTAAAGCAGCTCAGCCTTGTGAGGTTGGCTGTGTCAGTTGCCGTGATTTCTCTCGACTTTGAGTCAGATGTTGGAAATGCTGGGGAGATTCACAAACTACGGCTGCCTTCGGAGGTTTTCAGCAGCTTGCCTTTGAACTGAATTTTCTCGAGGAACCCGTGTGGAGTTCACGGCCCCTCCCTTCCTCCAGGCCTCCTGGTGATGCAGTGAGCAGCAGGCGCCCCCTTGTGTTGAGGAAAGAGTACTGTTTAATATGGCCAACTTTGCTCCTTTTCTGAGGAAATGTTCTTTCCCTATCAGCTCTAGTGTGTCAAGAGATGATGAGGGTGGCACAGGATAGGGCAAGGTTTAGGTCAGCCCTTCGTTCTCTCTATGAGTCATTCTCGACCCGACTCTACGGCACTAGACAACAACATGACTTTGCCGCCTTGCATTTAACGTTAGACATGGTAGGAGGAATATTTGGGGCAGTGAGTTTCTTTCCAGAGCCAGGAAGCTGGCTATATAACCTCCTCTCACCACTTTGACTTCATCAAACGGAGGCTTGAAGTGTGTGTGTGCTAACCCCTGTTGTTGGAGAGTATGATGGAGTCGGAACCAACACATAACTGACCCTCCAGCAGGTTTTCAAAGGCACAGGAGGCCCGTCCTTCTGCCAAACAGCTGGTGGATTTGAACTGCATACCTTTGGGATTGTAGTGCAGTGAGCAAGATAAAATCTCTCTTCAACAGAGCTTTCAATGTATTGGAACTACCAAACAGCTTAAATAAGCAATATCAATAAAGAACAATGCAAAGTGTGATGGGAGCATATGTTGTGTAAGGTGCCATCGAGTCAAGTATAACTCATAGATCTGTAAACAACAGATCTGAACCCTGCCTTACCCTGTGCCATCCTCACAATCTCTGACATACTGGAGCCCATTGCTGTAGTCACTCTGTCAAACCATGTGATTGAGGCTCTTCCTCTCTTTTGCTAAACTTCACCTTTCCAGGCACAATGTCCCTCTCTGCTAGCAACATGCCCAAAGTATGTGAGATGAAGATTCATCATCTTTGCCTCTAAGAAGCATTGTAGGTGTATCTTCTTCAAGACATATCTGTTTGTTCTTTTGACAGTCCATCAGATATTTAGTACTTTCTCCAACACTGCAGCTCAGAAGCATCAATAATTCTTTGGTCGTCCTTATTGTCTAACTCTCAGATGCATAGCAAGTGATTAAAAAGATCATGGCTTGGATCAGGCACACCTTAGTCCTCAAATTGACATCATTTCTCATCAATAATTCGGAGAGGTCCTTGATTATAGACTTTCAGATGGGAAAAATCTGAAGCCAGGTGGGAGCATATAGTGGAAGTATATAGCCTAGTGCACATTAGAGAATTCCAGAAATAAGTGACACTTCAAAAGTTTGAAAGGATTAATCAAATAGGAGAAAAAAGAAGAATCTTCTAGTCTTATAAATTTGTCCATTTTAGTCCCCTCACTCCTTGGGAGATAACTTTTCTTCACCTAAATTGACAAGCTACCTTTGATGCTCTTGCTCCTTTTCTGGTTTTCTAGACTGATAACTTGAAAGTTCTGTAGGAACCATTGCTACTTTGTTGTTGTTATGTGCTGTTGAGTTGGAGGACTCATATCTGATCCACCAATAGGTTTTCAGAGGTTGTAAATCACACGCAAGGAGTTGATCCATCAGTTTCCTACAGATCAGCTGGTGGATTTGAACCACATGCCTTTTGATTGGCAGTGCAACTCCTTACCACTAGGCCACCAGAGCTCACTATTTAGCCCAAGAAATTGCAAAAGGAAAAATACCTTGAAGTGTATTTCCTGCTGCAGGATGGCTTCACAATTGTTTATACATTGCTGTTTTTCCAATAAAGATGGAAAATAAAAGTTTTCTCTATTTCTGGTAGTAAACCGTCTTCACCATAAGTTTGTTTTATGTGAGCTGGCTGAAGTCCTGCTGAGTGGTGGTTTTCTTTTCCTTCTCCACTTAATTTAACAGGCCAGCCGAACACACATCAGAGAGTTAGAGTGTGTAGTGATTATGGTCTTCCAGTACAGCTCTGTGCCCCACTTTTGAGACTCGGTTTGGGACTTAGTTTACTATTCTGGGCAAGAGGAAAAGGATGCACACCAAGTAATAACAATCAAAACATAGATTTCTGTAGTAGGTTTTTTTCTACTTCAAGTTCATCATGATAACTTTGTAAAATAGCAAAGCAAATAATCTATACATAAAGAACTTAGTTTAAAGGTTCTAAATAAAAACTTGTGGAACTTGTTACAGCATCAGAACTTAAATCCAGGCCTTTATTTTCCTGTGTGAATTATCACACTCCATAGGCTTTTAAAGACTGTACAAACCAAAGAGAGAAAGCTCTCCAACCAGATGGCCTGACACAGTGACTGTAGCAATGGGCTCAAGAGTATGAGAGATAATTAAGATGGCACAGGATAGGACAAGGCTCAGGTCTGTTGTTCATAGGGTCGTTATGAGTCATGCACCAACATCACAAGCTTAGCTTTCCAACTTCATACCTTTCTGTGTGGAATTCTTCCAATAGGAATACAATGCTTATCTGCCTTTTCCTGTTGTCTGGGCTGTTAGGTGGTTAAATTTACCATAGCAATACTAAAGGGGGAGGGTCCCATGAAGAGTACTTTCAAGAACTTCCTTTTAGTTCATGGGTGACATTTCCTTCTTTGGTTTTAGAGTCTAGAAGTCTGAGGTGCTCAGTCTTGGTGCACCACTCCTGAATTCCTGCTGATGAGAAGATGTGGCTCCTGGACCCATCCCGAAAAGAGGTGCTAAAATTTGCAGTCCATTGCCGAGTCCTCGTTCTGGTGTTACAGGTCAGTCTGATCCTTTGTCCTGAACCGGCTGTTGCTATAAAACTGGGCTTGGTACTGAAAGTAGTCCCCATCTCCTTCCATCTCTCAGGTAATTAGAACCATAGAGACATAAAGTTTATTACCAAAAAGTAGACAAGAATCATGAAAATGATCTATTAATCCCTTATTTCACACACAAAGCAGCAGAGGCCCAGAAAGCATTAGTGGCTTTTGTAAATTCTACATAGCAAGTTAGAGAAGAGCAACCATTAGACCCCTAACTAGGGGTTCTTAACACTTGTGATCTTCCCAGCTGACTTAAGATGTTCTTTGATGGCTCAGAACATGGCTTTGAGTTCCCTCGCCAAGAGGCTGAGCGTTGTGTCAGTTGACTGGGAAAGGTATTATCAACCAAGTTCTGAGATATCTGTATATGTTCATGTAATCAGTAATGTCACCTGCTCTTCCCATAGTGTTTCCCCTTGCTGTCTCACCCACACACCACCCTCACAATGCATTTAAGTAACTTCCTTTCCTCTCCAAGACTGCCTTGGACACATGTTTTTATCAAATGCTGTGTATATACAAATTATATTCAGTGCGTGCTGCTTAGTCTTCAATATATGTTCATGAGTGAATATTGTTCAATGTATATCAACACTAAGGATGTTATTTTTTTTATAGTTATGTGTGCTTTTTATGACTTTTTCTGGAGAAGATGTAGTAATCTGCTCTTATAAAGATTATAGCCTTGGGGATTGTATGGGTCCGTTCTACTCTGTCCTACAGAATTGCTGTGACTCAAAATTTATTGGCACTGGGTCGATTTTTCACTCTCTAAAGACTCATATCCTTTGTGGAAACCTTTCCTTTTTCCTCCTCTACTATAATGAGGCAAAGGTTGCTTTGCTGGGTTCTGGTATAATTAGAAGAGTCTTGCACTTAGACATTATCATTATTATTTGTGACTGTCACTGCTGTCCCATTTGTTTTTATTTTTAAGTCTCTAGATAAACTGACAAAAGAGAAATAATCTTAAAAATGGAGTAGTTGTTGTTGTTGATTGCCTTTGAGTTGAGTACAACTCATTAGCAACTCTATGAGCAAAAAGCCTGAAGCCCCTCTGTAACTATCGACATTTATCAAAGTTCATAGAGTTTCTGGAGGCATGTTACTTTGTAAATAAACTAGTATAATAATTTAAACAAATGGAGTATACTTGACTTGATGGCACCTAACAATATCTTACTTCACCTGTCAGTAACATTTAGCATAGTTGACCATTCCCTTTCTTCACTAACCCCAAGGTAGTGCTTCTCTGGTGGTTCAAATCCAGCAACTCTGAGAGAGAAGTATGGGCAGTCTCCTCCCATACCATTTACAGCTTCTGAAAACCCACTAGTAGGTCAGCGCTGAATCATTGCCAACTTGACAACAGTGAGTTTTAAGTTTTTCTTCACTTGCTTCTGTCAGAGACATCTGTTTTCCTAGTTTCCTTCCTAATTCATTGATTGTTCATTGTTTTTCTTCAGTGCTGACTCTAAATGGTGACATGCTCACGGCCCAGTCTTTGGACCTCTTTCATTTCTTTTTCCTTCCTAGACCATCTCATCCAGTCTTAAAACTTCAATATATACTCATGACTCCCAAATTTATCAGTCCAGTCTTCATCTCTCTTTGACTCACAGACTTGTGTTTCACTTCCTGTTTCACCTGCTGTAGTTCAATGTCCAACTCAGACCTAACTAGTCTAAAATGGAATTTCTGATTTCTCTCAACACATCTAAGTATATGTTGTTGGGGGTTTTTTAATTAATGAATCTTCTAGTTAGTCAATTAATATCCTGGTTCTCCCTTACCCCACAGGCCCTCTTCAATGCCATCATTCCAGATCACCGTGCAGAAGCATTTTCCCCTCCTCGCTTAGCCCCCTCAGGCTCTGTGGACCAACTTGTGGAAGTTCTTCTAGGTGGCCTGTCTCACTGGGATGCTGAACACTTCCTGTTCATTGCGGAACATGGTTACCTGTATGAGCACAACTTTGCCTTCTTCCCTGGTTTCCCTCTAGCCCTGCTGGTAGGGACTGAACTGCTTCTGAGACCTCTGCGGGGGTTACTGAGTCTACGGAGTTGCTTGCTAATTTCAGTAGCATTGCTGAATTCCTTGTTTTCTGTGCTGGCAGCAGTGGCACTTCATGACCTGGGTTGTAGGGTTTTACACAGTGCTCGCCAGGCCTTCTACGCAGCACTGCTCTTCTGTCTCAGCCCCGCCACTGTCTTCCTGACAGCTGGTTACTCAGAAGCTCTGTTTGCCCTTTTGACATTTAGTGCCATGGGGCAGCTAGAGAGGAACCGAAGTTGGACTAGCGGATTTCTCTTTGCCCTTGCCACTGGTGTACGCTCCAATGGACTGGTCAACATTGGGTTCCTTGTGCATGCTCAGTGCCAAGGCTTTTTCTCTTCTCTCGAAGCGGGAAGTCCCCTGAGGCAGCTCATTAAGCTGATAGCTTCTGTGCTCCTGTCAGTGCTCACACTTGGCCTTCCCTTTTTCCTCTTTCAGTATTATGCCTATACCCAGTTCTGTCTACCAGGCACAGCCCAGACCATCCCTAAGCCCTTGACGCAGTTAGCTATGGATAAGGGCTATCGTATTGCAGATGGAAAAGAGCCACCGTGGTGTTTCTGGAACCTTCCTCTAATTTACAAATATATCCAGGATGTCTATTGGAATGTTGGTTTTTTGAGATACTATGAACTCAGACAGGTGCCCAATTTTCTACTAGCTGCACCAGTGGTTATATTGGTTGCTGGTGCAACTTGGATGTATATAACCACTCACCCTTGGCTCTGCCTTACACTTGGCCTACAAAAGAACAAAAACCTAGAGAAGTCTGTACCTGGATTCCTCAGTCCTCATGTGTTTGTGTACCTGGTCCATGCTGTGGTGCTGCTGGTGTTTGGAGGTCTGTGCATGCACGTTCAGGTAAGATGGATTCCTGACTAGGGTAAAGATGTGAAATGTAGGCAAAACTCCTTGTCCAGTGAGCAGAAAGAGTAGGTAACTTCTCCCATCTGATTGACTCATATCTCATTTATTCATTCAACAAGCTTAATTTAGGCAGACACTGAGAGAGACCACTGAGGATGGAATTGCTGGATCTCATGGTAAAAATGGTTAGACAGTTAACAGATAAAATTGTTGTGTAGTGGGTTAGAAGAGAGGTTGCTGTTTTGTGATAAGTGCTGCAGAAGCTCAGAATAAGTACTAAGTGAATGAAGATTTTTAGGAAGACATTCTATTTAAGCTGAGTTTAGAAGAGTAAAGAAATTTCCCACCTAAGAAGCAGAGGAAATAAAACTACAGAAATAAGCAGAAAGGATCTTTGTGTGGCCGTACCCTGATATACAGTTATATCTGGAATATTTACTTGAATTATGGCTTCTTAAGGTACTCTGAGACGTATGTCCAGTTGTCAGAGAGAAGTATGTTCTTAGGGACAGGGATAGAGAGGAATATGAGGGCTGTGATTACATATGGTTTTTGTATTTGAATCTGCCTTTAATTTCACTATAACCCTAAGAAAGTCTTTTTCCCCTGTACTGACATCTCCTAAGAAGGTCTGTCTCTTGGAGGTACACACTGACTATTTGTAAAGCTCTTTGAGCTGTGTGGATAAAAGACACAGGGGAAATAGAAAATAGCATTCTGTGTATGTAGCTGGATTAGCTAGCGGAGTGATTGCCAGCACAGTGCAGCACTTCCAGGATATTTGATGAGGGAGGCTATTTGGAGGTTTGGCTCTGAAGAGGGAGAACTGTGAACAACTCTCTGCTCTGACATTCCCATGGGATGAGCAACCATCCCAGGTTCCCAGCACCAGCATCACAGCCCAGAGTTCAGAGTCTAGGCCCTGGGTTCAATTGGACCCCATACAAAGAGGTTTTAGTGGTGATTATCCCATTATAGTGGTAATTACTCTATTGCTGTATTTATTTGTAACTTTGAGGTTGCCTGGCTAGTGTCACACACATTTTTATAAAGCAAGTGGCACAGGATTGTTCAGTGTTTTATTCTGTTTTACATACAAGCACCTAACAACAACAAATTCAGCTGAATTTTCCTTCCAATGTAATAAACATCTAGTATATATCATGGAGTTAAGATTGAATTCACCAGGAGTTGGGAAGCCCTCTAGTTCGTCCAGTTTGAAATAAATTTGTGGGTTTTTCTTTCTCCTGTGATTTCCAGGTTCTCACCAGGTTTTTGGGCTCTTCCACTCCTATTGTGTACTGGTTTCCAGCTCACTTGCTACAAAATCAAGAGCCAATGCTGAAGTCTTTAGAGACTGTGTCTTGGAAGCCTCTTGAAGGGGACTCCCCACCAGGACAAATGATCTCCAGAAATCCTATCAAGGAACTTTTGTACAATTGGAAAACCTGTTCTCCACTCACACAATACATTCTAGGCTACTTCCTGACTTACTGGCTCCTGGGACTACTCCTTCATTGCAACTTCCTGCCTTGGACATGACCTGGAATCTTAAGGGACAGGATTGAAGCAGACTTAACACAGGGCTCTAAAAGTACAAATGCTAGTGCAACAATGAATGAGTGGAAGCCCAAAATCTCTGTAAATGTATATGAAAATTAATAAAATATAATTAAAAAAAAAAAAAGAAAGAAAAAAAATAAAAGTACAAATGCACATTGGGACTGCTTGTGCTGCCCTGGGATTATTTGCCCGTTAAAATATCTCTCTCTCTTAGAAGGTTGGTTAGCTGAAGTGTGAGTAACTATAACAATCCTCTGGTCCTGACAAGGGCAAATTTTAGAGTATTATCTGTATCACTGTAAGTGAAGATGTAGTATTCCAGGTCTAAATTATTCCTGGATCTGTCTTCAGTCAACCGATTTTAGAAGAGACAATCTACCTACCACTGACTCACACATAAACTCAAATTATTTGAATATACATTTTATCAAAGGCTCTTCCCGACAGGACATGGAGCCTGTTTAGTAGAACAGTGAGTCTTTTCCCTAAATGGGACACTTTAGTGATGATTTTTTAATATTTTATAAATGTATTTATATTTTAGAAATCTTACAAATATATGCTAATTCAACAACATTCACCATACATTCAAGAAATTACCTTTAAGAAAAATAATACAGATAATTGGAAAAAGTCTTTTTCCAGGGAAAACAAAAAATCATGATAAAGAGTATACTACGTGAAGAGTCAGGAGACCTGGATTCTAGTCCTCACATTAAAACCCTATTTACTCAGCTTTGTGACTTTGAGTCTTCAGAGCTTTAGTTTATATTCCTCTTGGATATCAGAGAAAGAATATTATTGCTATTAAGGAGCTTTGTTGGCTTAGTGGTAAGGAGTTGTGCTGCCAACCCAAAGGATGATTGTTTGAATCCACCAGCTGCTCTGTGGGAGAAAGATGGGCAGTCTCCTTCCATGCATTTTACTGCCTCTGAACACCAATCGGAGGACCTAACAACAACCAAGGAGCTGAACCCTTTTAGTAGTAAGGTCTTGAAATTCTGCCTAGCATCATCCTAGTCTAAGCTCTTCTGTAGAGGCTTAGATATGATTTTAGGTTAAAATATCTCCAGTTGTCCTGTAATTAGAAGATGAATTAAAAGTAATTTAAGTGATTTTTTTTTTCTTTGAGAGAAAGCAGTGACACTTAACAAATAAGGCTCATTGTCTGTGTAAATTAACCTGTGCTGGGGAACTGAATGGTCGGAGCTGTGGCTGATTTTCCTGTCATTCTCCAGTGCCTGTGCCCGCTTGCATGGTAGATAAAGGTCAGAGGAGCCAGCACAGCAGCATGAATTGGTAAATTATAGCGAGATCAGGCTTGAGTGAAACATTATCTGCCCTGCTTCCTGGCCTCCTTTTGGTTGTAAAACCAAATATATAATGGTAGTAAGATCATTGGTTCCTGCTGAGCTATTTTTGCTCATTCCTTGAGTCAGGTAAATTAGGCTCTGTATTATCACCACTCATTCTCCACTTGAGTCAAATATTCCGACAAGTAGAAACTCTTCAAAATAGATGGGTAATCAGAAGTAGCTTCTAGAGAGTCCTGAGAATTGTAATTTTGACACACTCCCTCTGATGGTGACAGACTGCTAAACTTGCCAGCTGAAGGGAAGCTCCTGGCTAAGCCCCAACACTCTGTTGGAATTTCTGGTCAGCCTGGCCAATAAGCATTTTCCATCCATCGCCCCAGCACTAGCACAGCTGAGAGAATCTGGTCCAGAGTCAAATGTTTCTGAAAATGTACACACAGATTGGGGCAGCCCTCTGCTTTCTGCCAAGACACCCAAGTGCCCTTCTTGGCAAAACACAATCACCCTTGCCCTAGTGTCCCTCCAGCTGGCAAATACTCCTTCTCTTCCTCACCAACAGCTGCAGATCCAGGGACTTCTACCCTGTGTGCAGCCTGAGTTGGGGCCTTTGCCAGCTTTTTACTTCTGAGGTAAGAACACCATGTTCTTTGTTGTCATGGATTCTCCTTCTTGCATCTTTTTGAAAGATAATGTGAACTGATTGTTGTCTCCCCCCAGGAAAAAAAGATTCATAGCACAGCCGGTTAGGTGTGATTCACTGCACTGGCATTCTTAGTTTAACCTTCACACTAGATCTCATTATACGTAGAAACGAGTGAGTTGAAGGACCAAAAATTTTTATAAGTGGGAAAATCCCATCTTCTCAACTAATACCAAAGAATTCAATCACCTGATATCCTAGAGATCATTATGTTTACAGCTAATATTAAGATAACTGAGCACTCTAGCTAGATGGACACACCTGGTGTGATCTATAGATGGGCATAGCTTTCTTTACTTTGGAGGGATCTAGTTGTTGTTCTCTGAGGATGTAAGGAATGGGCTGATTTTATGACTAGCAGCTGTCCTTTTACCATCCTATTATATAACCTTTAATAGGCTGGGAGAGGAACGTGAAGGACCCAAGGCAGGAAGCTTCCTGTTTACCCTAAGGTCTAACAATGCTGCAGCTGGGTTGGGCATCTACAATTTTGGAGAATACTCATTTCCTTCAGAAACCCTGCTAAAACAGAAACCAGACTCTTAGTGTACCTAGAATTAGATGGATTTTTTGTTCTTTAATGAAGGTAGGAGGAGAAGGAGTGTTTGACGTCATTTTACCAGTTACCTTGGGGTTGGGGAATCCTTTCTTTTCTGGGACAGACCTTCTCACCTTTAACTTAGAATATAATGTGTATAGGTTTAAGGGATTTTGAACTGATTGATTTATTCCACAAGTGTTTATTAATGCCTGTTTTAGGGCAGTAAAGAATAATCACTATGACTTCTGTATTCAAGCAACCCTAATAGAGTAGCTAGCATAATACAGTAATGTTAAGGTAGAGTAACAAATACTTGGGGAGGGGGTGAGAATACTTAAAATTTTTGCTCTATACTCTGTACTTGAAGTTTTCATAATAGAATGAATTAAAATTTTACTTGTGCACTTGGAAAAAGTTAAGTGATCTGTACACAGAACAAATACTCTGTAAATTCATACAAGGTGGAACTCCCATCCAGTTTGAGATATACCTAAGAAAAAACTTCATAGAGAAATAGCTTTTGCACTGGACTTTTTGAAGGATAGGTAGAATTTGAAAATCAAAGGCAAAGAATGAATATGAATCAGGAAATGAACAGACCAGGGAGAGCTCAATGTGAGGGGACCTGGATTATTATTGAGATGTAGGCTTTCACATGTATTTGCTATGTAAACTCGAGCCAAATGCTGACTCTCTTAAGTCTCAGTTTACACGTCTGTAAGATAAGGATGATAATATTATCTATATATGTGGATAATGTTCTGTACCTCATAGAACTGTTTGAGAATGAAATGAGCTGTCACATGATAAATGTTTAGAATAACGCTAATAATGATTGACTTTTGTACACTCAATGATTTATTCATCACAAGTACTTTTTTAAAAAAAAAACAAACCACAGTGACTATACACATGGTCCTCACCAGATGAACTGCAGAGGAATCAGATTGATTACATATATGGAAGGAACTGTTAGAGAGGCTTAATATCAGCAAAGCCAGGCCAGGTACTGAGTATGGAACAGATCAACAATTACTCATCTGCAAGTTCAGATTGAGACTGAAGAAAATGAAAAGTCAGGAACCAAAATATGATCTTGACTCTTACCTCCTCTGAATTTAAAAATCTTAAGAATACAAAACAACCATGAGATATCAGCAAAATTTAATAGAAAAGCAAACAACAAATGCTGGCTAGATTGTAAAGAACCTGGAACCCTTATTCACTGTTGGTGGGAGTGTAAAGTGGTGCAGCCACTATAGAAGGTAGTATGGCGCTTTCTCAAAAAGTTTCAAATAGAAATACCATTTGACCCAGAAATTCCACTACTGGGAATATACCCCAAAGAAACTATAACTGCCACCCAAGCAGATATATGCACACCCATATTTATTGTGGCTTTGTTCCCAATAGCAAGGAGTTGGAAACAACCTAAGTGCCCATCAACAAACAAATGGACAGAGAAGCTTTGGTATATTCACACAACGGAATATTACACTGCATTGAAAAACAAGGAACTCATGCAATATTATTCAAAATGGGTGACCCTGGAAGACATGATGCTGAGTGAAATATCTCAGTCACAAAAGGACAAATACTGCATAATGCCACTGTTGTAAAATGGGACTGACATAGGGATTTGGTGGAGACTGAGAAAGATGGAATAAATTATGTATACTGCATTGAAACAGATGAGAGAAAGAGAACTGTTTAAAAGGTATACATGATTAGGTATTATTATCATGACATGAGTCCAGAATGAAGGCTGCATAGTGGAATGGATTTGGGGGAGGAATTATATAACAAAGAATTTTTCTCTTACTTTTCAAAGAGAAGAACAAATTGGAGGGTAGGGGAGGGCAGGGAGAAGAGTGCAACAATGAATGGAAATCCAAAATCTCTGTAAATTTTCATTAAAATTAATAATAAAAACAAAAAAAAGTTTTAAATGATAAATATATTTCCACAGCACTGTTATAAAACAGGACTGGAGGTTGGGGGGAAACTAAGAAAAGGGGATAAATAATGAACACTGCATTGGAACAGAAGAATTGATGCCTTTGTGCTATGGTATTGGAAAAGAGAACTGAGCATCACATGGACAGACAGAACAAATAGATATGTATTGAAGAGGGTGTAGCCAAAGTGCTCTTTGGAGGCAAGAATGATGAAACGTTGCTTCACATACTGTGGGCATGTTGCTAGGTGGGGCAGTTCCTTGGAGAGGGACATTATGCTGGGAAGGGTGGAGGATCAGTGAAGGAAAGGAAGACCCTCAATCAGATTGATTGACACAGTGACTGCTGCAGTGACTCTTGTGTGTTGAGAAGTGTGAAGATGGCACAGGATAGAACACAGTTCATAGGGTCGCTATGCGTTGTACTCAATAGCACGCAACAATAACTACCAGCACTAGAACAGA